CTTACCATTTCCTTCCCTAGACCTAGAATCAGATATTTCTCAAGAAGCCTGATTCACTAAATAGGAAATATTCTAAGACCAAAATCTGGGAACGAGGGATTCTCAGTACTATGGGTTAGTCATTGTTTCTATGCCTTTCCATATACGGAACTAGAGAAAAACATATTTATTTATACATAAAATACAATGGTGAGTTCATAAAAATTTCCAATGCAAATTCAGGATAACAAGGTTTTACTTATCTGAAGCTCATACTCCATTAGATTCCTTAAAAGTTCATGGGATTAACAGTCTCTGAATTCCTGCATATAGGTGACAGTTGGTGCCCTTTTTGAAGGTCTCTTTTGCTGGACATTAAGTTCTTGGCTCACATTTTCTTTCCTATAATACCCTAAATATGCTAGCCCATTTTCTTCTGGCATAAAGTGTTGAAAAGTTGAAAAGTCTGATGATAATCTACTTTTCTTTTTTTTTCCTAAGTCATGTGCTCTTTTTGCCTAGATGCCCTAGTGATTTTTCTCTTTCTTCCTAAAATTCCATTAATTGTAGCATACATCTTGGTGTTCATGGTTCTAGGTGAACATTCTCAGGGTATACTGTGTAATCTGTCAGAAAGTAGTTTCAAAAATATGTTTTTACTTCAGAAAACTTTTCCTGAAAGATGTTTGCTCTCTTGTATTTTCTTCAGAGACTCCTTTATTAAATACACTGTGTATCTCTACTGCCCGTATTCAATATTTGCTACTCTCTTGAATTCTTTTTCATTTTAAAAACATTTTTTCCCTTTTATCTTCAATTTCTCTGAAGATATTTTATTTTATTAAGACATACTAATTCTTGATTTCTTTAGTATTCATTTCTAAATAAATTTTCTTTTATTTCTAATTCTTATCACTGCATATCAAAGTTTTTGTTTTATGTTGTTTTTCATGTCTTGTATGATTTTCTTAATGTCTTCTAGCTCATTTTGAAATAGCATATCTTCTTAGTATATCTTTGTG